GAGAGAGAGAGAGAGAGAGAGAGAGAGAGAGAGGTACCAGTCCGGTCCAGTCCCGGTCCTGGAGAGTGGTACCAATCCAGTCCAGTGCAGCTCTCGGAGTGTGGAACCAATCCACTCCAGTCCAGGTCCCGGAGAGTGGTACCAATGCAGTCCAGTGCAGGTCCTGGTTGGAACAGAGGAAGGAATAAGTTGAACTCGGCAGTCAAAATGGCGATGCAGTGGAAGAGAGACAAGTCCACAACCTGAGAGACTTGGAGGGAGTTGGATTAAAAAAGCTATCCCTCTTTCTCTCAGTCGCTCTCCATGCATGCGTCTCTGGGAGCAAGGTTTAAAAATACATCTGAGAAAAAAGGAGACCTCAAAAGTCTGCGGCCTCCGAACACAAAGGCTTTCCAAAAAAAAAAAAAAAAAAAAAACACCACCACCACCAACCCCGGAGAGAGCTTGAGGTGCTGACAGGAGCAGGCGCCTCCTAGCTATTCCCGGGGAGGCTCCATCTATTGGTGGGCAGCTGCACCTACTGGGAAACGGGCCCAGCGTCCCTTTTACAAATTACAGAACACAAAGGTTAAGAAACTAAACATAATACTTTTAAAGTGCGTCTAACTAACCAACATCATGTTCATTCTCCACTAACAGCTGAAAGCTAAAAAACAAAAAAAAAAAAAAAAACTGAAAGCTGGGCAAACTCAACTACAAAGTCACAAACCTTCTTATCATCATCATCATCAGCAGCAGCAGCAGCAGCAATTGCACAACCTGTAACTTCCACCAACCAAAGACAAGTATGCTCTACCGCGTATGCTCTACCGCGACCGTCATCGAATTGAAAGTAAACCCTCCTTGCATTCACAAGCAGCAGCAACAAGAGAGACAAAGGGAGGCATCACACACAACTGACTAGTAGGTCCTGCAGCCTTTCTAGGGTGCTAACAACAGCCGTCTGATCTCGAAAAAATTGTACGTTTCCTAATGAGAATGCACACTGCCTTGTGGTGACATTTTGCTAAGCTACTGATCACCGGCCTAATACGAAGAGACCAAAGAAAAAATAACAATGGGTGGATGGTTCGGCGCACTTGTAGATGCGTGCGTGGGGGCGTTTTCTAATTATGTTGGTGGACAATTGTACCCAGTGAAGTGCAGCTGCATGAACAGAAGATGTTCAATTCCTTAGGCTTTCTTCATCATCCGTTCCCAGCTCTCTCTACACCATCAATTTTGTACCCTACGCAGCCAGAGAGGGAAAAACAGAGTGCAAAGATGAGTTAGTGGTCCCGCATTGCTGCAGTTAGGAAGGCGGTGAGCAGCTCTCTCTCTCTCTCTCTCTCTCTCTCTCTCTCTCTCTCTCTCTCTCTCTCTCTCTCTCTCTCTCTCTCTCTCCCTCTCTCCACCATCAATTGTATATGTTATGCAAGCCAGAGAGGGAAAAAAACATGGTTACGCCGGACCTGACGTTCGGCCGGACCTCTCTGTCTAGACTGCTCCAGACCATCAGGGTTGAAAAAAGTTAAAAAAACCCTCTTTTATTAAAAAAACGTTTCTATTTTTTTTTCCTTGGATTTAGCTACGAATTTCGAGATGGTCCTCAGCCAAAAGATTTTTGTATTGCAATGCTGCACAACATCTCTTTTTTTTCAGATTTTTTTTATTTTCGTAAAGTCGGATTTTTTTGGGGGGGTGAGGGTGGGGGAATGGATCCGGACACTCTGGACCGGACACCAGACCCGGTCCATCGGTTCAATCAAGGCTGTCACCCTTTTGGGGAGAAAAAAAGAAAAAAAGAGGGAATGTTCAACTACCTCAGAGGGCACAGGAAGAAGAGAGCTATGGATTTAAAGGGACACAGGGCCTCCCTCCACTACTCACCACATGCAGAAAAGGCAAAAAAATAGCGTGGTGCATCTTCCCATGTTCAAGTAGAATATTCATTCTCATTTTTGGGTGAGTAGTCGAATGAGGCCCAAATAATGCACATTATTGACCACAGAGTTAGGCAGGACATACCAAAGTCCTGAAAAAATAAACGAAAATTAAAAAAGAAAATAAAAAAGAACTAGAGACCTGTTTCCCAAAAAAAAAAAAAAAAAAAAGCACTAGAGACCTAGGCTACCACCCGGGGCGCCCGGGTCACCCTGTTTTCCCGGTCGGACCGGCCGTGCAAGGACCCGGGAAGGTCCCAGCAAAAAAAGAAAAAAAGAAAAAAAGAAAAAAAGAGAAAAAGAAAAAAGAAAAAAAGAGGTGGGTCCAAGACAGTGGATATCACCAACCAACCGAGGGTGATAATGGAAGGACAGGTCTTTCTCTGCTGTGTAGCTCCTCGGATGCATTAGGAAGGTCATGGACTGAGAAGGAGGGTATCCTACGGGTGACCGACCTGTGCAACGATCTGACAGGACAGTGGTGCTCTTTTCTTTTCTTTTTTCTTTTTTCTTTTAAGGACAGTGGTGCTCTGCTAAGGACCTCGAACAGAAGTTGGCTCGGCTGTGGGCCAGATACAAGAAACGGCGGGGCCCAAATAGGGGCTGCTATCCCCCGAGAGTGGAGGATCCTGCTGAGCCCAGTGGGAACCCCCCCCTCCCTCAGGGGAACTTGATTCATACCTACCAGACAGAGAATCCTTTTTTCTTTTTTTGTTTAACCAAACGTCCTTCTACCAGGGGCGGTGATACGAGCAGCCTCCCCTAGTAGAGCGGTCGGTTGCTCTGTTCCATTGGTGGGGAGCGGTACCTGCTGGAAAACGCGTCCAGAATCTATAGGTTCCCAATCCGGGTGCATGGGGTACCCCACGGCGCCCGGAATGACGCTCTGGGCGCTCGGCCGGGCGACCCCCCCGGTCGGCCTCCCGGGCCTCGCCAGTGCCAAGGCCAAATGGGCCTCAAAAAAAAGAAATTGCGCCGCCGTGGGTTGGCCCGGAGGCCAAACGAAAATTTGGCAGTCACTCTTTTTTTTTTCAGGGCCGGTAAGGCCACGTTTCACTCTTTTTTTTTTTGCAATCCCGGCCGTTGATCGTCCCAGGTGGACAGTGCCCGGCAGCTCCAGGTTTCAAATTCAAAACCTGGCCACCCCCCACCCAAGCCCGTGGTCCGCCCCCGCCAGTCTTTTTTTTTTTTTTTTTTTTTTTGTTGCCCTGCCTGCCCCGCGAGATGGCATGCGGCGGCAGTCGTCATCACGCTGCAGCCGCCATCTTCACCTCTGCTGTGTAACCTCCTCCTCATGCCGTTGTCACCTCTGATCCGCCATCGTTGCCTCTGCCATTGGAGACCGTTGTGCCACGCACGAACGGCGCGAAGGTCAGCATTTTTTCCTTTTCTTCTCTTGTTACCTCTGCCATTGGAGACCATTGTGCTTTCTCTTTTTTCATTTTTCTTTTTTTTTAAGGGGACATGCTCCAATCTATTTGTGGGGAGCAGCGCGTGCTGGGAACCGGGCCCAGCGTCCCATTCAAGATCACATTGAAAAAATGAGAAATTTATGAAGAAATCCTTGAGATACCAGGGCAAAAGGACAACCGTGTAATCTACACAATAACACTGAAATTCTCTGTCCCCCAAAGCTCGGATCAAAGAAGCATTCTGAGCGATAAAACCACCTACCTTAGGGCCTTTCAGCAGCCCAACCCTACCTCCCTCACCCCTATATGCCGATGCCCTACCATTGTGCTTTCTCATGAATGTGTACTTATAAATTGACCAGAATCATAACACTTTAATCTTTCTTCTTCTTCTTCTTCTTTGTCTCCTTTCTCTTTGTCTTCATTTCTAGTAACCTTTTACTTCTTAGTGGTCCCTGCTTCTCTTCTCTGAAGTTCCTCTTCTTCTTTGGTGTTGGCATCTACAGTGTAAACTTTTTTTTTTCTCCTGGGTGCGCTTAGTAGCCCTCTACCACCGTCTTCCCCCAACATAATGCACCCCGATAATGAATGTATAGAAGCCATCTTTCATGTCCTGTACAGGCAAAATGAGGGTGCATTATGTTCGGGGGAAGACGGTAGTCACTTAGCACACTTACTCTCTGCACTCATTCGCCTCCTCCCTCCTCCTTTTCATCTCCATCGCCGCCCTTCTCCCTGTCTCTCGATCGTTTCTCTCCTCCCCCCCCCCCGTCCATCCCCTCCCTCCTCCCTCCTCCNCTCTCTCTCTCTCTCTCTCTCTCTCTCTCTGTGTGTGTGTGTGTGTGTGTGTGTGTGTGTGTGTGTGTGTGTGTGTGTGTGTGTGTGTGTCTGTGAGTCTTAGTCTTCAACGCAACGCCTTGCAAATGTCAGGTAGCCAGTGTGGCCCCTGGCATCACTAGAGCAGATAGCCGTTACCCTCCGATGACGGAAAGGACTTGACAGGGCCTGTGGTGCACTTTCGCCCATGAGGCCTTGTTGGATGGCCCTTCCCAGCTTTGTCCCAGGATCACCACCGGTCGTATTGATAGAATGGTCTGGTCCAGTCATCTTCGGGCCACCACTCTCCTCCAGAATGCTGTCATCCCCGCGGTCCTCTACACCTTCTGTCTTTGCTTCCTCTTCAGCTCGGAGTCGTTTCACTCTGTGATCCTCCCAGTCTGAGTCAGTGACCCCCACTCCAGCACCTCCCATAGCAGTGAGATCTTGCTGGCCATTCCCATGCTGGCTCTGGCCTGTGGTCGACCGCAGGTCTGTGATCTGCGTCTCTGACCGTAGGTTGTATGTACGAAGGAGTACCTCGAAAGTGCGAACATCCACGAAGCCATGCTTATGCAGAGCGGCACAGCAGCGCTGCACCTGCTCAATGCATGGAGAAAAGGAGCAGAAAACCCCATCAGGCCGCAGGCTTCGCGCTGCACTTGGAACCGCTTCCCACGGGCCCGGGAGGTCTAGGAAGACAGCATCCGCCTTCCCAGCGAGGTGCTCGGGAAATCCTTCACCCTGAATGTCGCGAACGTCGACTGCGACAATGGAATCTAGCCCATTCTTCGCAAACTCCTCCTTCGCCACAGCGGCGCGCTGGGCGTGAAATTCGAAAGTGTGCACATGCCCATGGGGACTCACAGCCCGCGCCAGGGAGGTGGTTAGCGATCCCGATCCTGTGCCCGATTCCAGGACCACGACCCCAGGCCTCAGTTCCAGGAAGGAGATCACAAGGCTGATGTCTGCCATGTACAAAATTTGTGTCCTATGAGGCAGTACCAGTGTCCATAACTCGGGGGAAGGAGCGAGGAGGTGGACAAAGCCATCACCCCGATCGGCAAAGACGCGAGAACCGAAGGGGCATCCGATCCAACGCTCCTGGAAAAACACTCCCCATTTGTCTTCAAAGCGCCCCTTGGAGCTGACACGAACTGCGCGCATACGCTCATGGCCTTCATACACAATGACTAGGTCCCCCTCCTGGATCGCCCGATGCTGTCTGGTGGGAGCTGTGGAAGAGGACAATCCCTCTTCTTGGGTACTAGCCAAGAAGGCAGGTGCCGTCCCGATCATCATTATGCGAAACCGGCAAACTAATCAAGTTTATGATCAATGCTTTTTTTTTTTTTTTTTTTTTTTTTTTTTTAATGATGACCAATGCTGTTACTGACCTGCACACTAAGTTAAGACGAAGTGTAGCAAGCTTGTGATTGCAATTGCTCGCTGGAGAGTGGGAGTGGGTACCAATCCAGTCCAGTCCAGGTCCCGTAGAGCGGTAGCAATCAATGCTTTACAGACCTGCACACTGAGTTAAACCACCAGTACTTCCTAGAGTTGTGCCTGTTAACGCGCCACGATTTTAGGAAACGTACGGGCTACTACAGGAGCGCCCAAATTCATCCGACTAGAAACGTTTCCACTCTATTCTTTTCCGCGGCCGACAGCTGGGCCAAGGACCGGTGGTTTAAGGCGAAAAGTCACCAACTTGTGTTCGCAATTACTCCCTGGAGAGAGAGAGAGAGAGAGAGAGAGAGAGAGAGAGAGAGAGAGAGAGAGAGAGAGAGAGAGAGAGAGACAGACAGACAGACAGAGAGAAGAGGCAGACAGACACACACACACACACACACACACACACACACACACACAGAGAAGGGGCGAGAGAAATGCCATGCAAAAAGACAGCCAGACAATATCTCAAGACAAGATAGTTGCTTCGCCCACTGAGAGTGAAACCTGCAAGGTGGTGGATATGAACAAAAAGTGTGAATGATTGTGGTGTTCAAGCACATGGAAACCAGGGTTTTGTGTAATTGAAGTTATATTTAACTAACCCGAGCAATCTTGTCTGCATCAACAACTGGGATTCCTTGAGCTTGAAGCTCCCGTGATACTGTTGACTTCCCACTTGCAATCCCGCCAGTCAAACCAACGATGCGCATGCCTGCTGCTCTGACGTCTCCAGTCAGAGACCCCTGCAGTTGAGCAGCTTCAACGATGCGCGTGTTGGCTATGATGGCTTTTTTTTCTTCGCATGGAGAAAAAGAAAAAGGTTCTGCAAATGTGCACCAAAATTTTCTTGACTTTCCCCACACACGCAATCTTGTCGGTTACGAGCGAAGATCGCAGTCACTAACCCTCGCCGGCAAACTGCTGAAAACCTTTTACGGTCGTGCTAGAGGCCAAACGGCAGCGTGGTCCTGTCAAATCGATGTAGTGCACAAAAAAAGATCAATCCATTCTGATAATGGGCTCAACTTGAGTCCATCAGCTCCAAATCATCCATCCTCCTCACCGCAAACCAGTGCATCACCTGCCGACACGTAATCAATCAAAATTCAGTCCAAACAAAATTTGCACCAGCCTATCAGAGTCGCCTCGCCTTCAAGACTGAAGCCAAACCACCTTTTCCAATATCTCACCAGCAAACACATACTTTAAAAACTGGCTCAGCAGTCAGAACTGGAGAGGCGGTTAACGGAGACCCAAAATTTCAGCGTTTTTTTAATGCTATTTATAACAAAACCAGAAAACCCTTTTTAACCAAAAAATGCATCATTCCGAGTGCACACCATATTAACAAACCATTAGAAAAAACACGAAAAAATAACAACCATTGGAAATCAACAGTATACTTACAGCAGTCAGAACTGGAAATCAACAGTATACTTACAGGAGACAGAACTGGAAATCAACATATACTTTAAAAAACTTTTCACAACTATTTGGAAAAGAACTGGCTCAGGAGTCAGAACTGGAAATCCATACAATTCACGGCCATCTTCTCCTACTCCTTGTCGTTGGAATAGAGATAAAGCTGGATGTGGATTTTGGATCTACTCATCTGGGTGGAATACGGTAGGGGCTGTTGGGGCGAAAATCTACAACACACACAGAGAGACGGGTGACACAGAAGAATCTCGCCCGCACGAAGAAGGGTTCTTGCCTCTCGGGGTTTTACCCTTTAGTTTTTTTTTCCTTTTTATTTTTCTCTCCTTCTTTCTTTCTTTCTTTCTTTCTTTCTTTCTTTTTGATATTGCTTTCTTTTGTATATTGCTTTGTGTGGTGTACAGTCTATGCATTGGTGGCAAGTTCGGTTCAAACCATAGTTGCGGCGCACGTCGGTGCGCCGGTTTGCGCACGGTTTGCGCACGTCGCGCTGCGCAACGCACAGCACACAGAAGCGCAGCGCACTTTAAAAATTAGGTCAAGAAAAAAGAAAAGAAAAGAAAAGAAAAGAAAGAAAAAGAAAGGCGATAAAAAAGAAAAAAAGAGAGAACAAAAAGGAAAAGGAGAAAAAGAAGAAGAAACAGCGCAATGAATCAAAGCGATGTCGGTGGTGTGGGGACATCCCGTTAAAATTGGAACGATACAGAGAAAAAAGATTAGCATGGCCCCTGCGCAAGGATGACACGCATAAATCGGAACTTAAAAAAACGCTGTCCCTGGCTCTGCATTTTTGTCAATTTTCTGGCTCTGCTTCCACGTGTTTTTTTCCAAAGGCTCGGGAAACTTATACAGGTCGGTTCAGCAACACGCTCCCCAGTGTACTGGTGGCTTAACTGCAGTCAGAAGGAGTCCTTTAGTTTGCACATTCCCAAAGGTACTCCACCGCTGGCATCAATTATACAAGGAATATGGAATATTTCCTATACAAAAAAAAGGAATATTAAATGGTTAAGTGGTTCCTTTCTGTAGCTGCAGCAATGACCCGCGTCAGAGATCAAACAGCATCTTGTCTTTCGATGGAGTAGGAGGAGGATACCTCTCCTCCGGTCTTCGGATGCTGACAATCAACAGGGGAGGCGACAAAGTAAATCGATCAGACAGCAGGTGTTTTCATGATGGCGAGGTGTTCTCCGGGAAGCGTGGAGGGGGGGTTAGAAAGGGGAGACGACACGTCCAAATGATGACTATACATGTGTGGCAGATGAGTACAATCTTCCTCTCCTCCAGTCTTCTGATGCTGACAATCAACAGGAGAAGGCAACGAAGTAATCGAGCAGAGGAAGGGAGGAGGGGGCTCAGGGAGGTCTTCTGAGTGGGGCTACAAAAACAAAAAAAAAGGGAGACGACGCGTCCAAATGATGACTATACCTGTGGCAGATGAGTCCAACCTTCCAGACGATGACCATATACACCGGATGAGCCGGTGCCAGAAAAAGGCGGACAGCTCTGAAAAGTCTAACCAGGTAAGGCTCGGGAGAAATGACACATCTCTTTTCCCCCCCTTTTGCCCAGGCCTCCCCTCCTTCGGGACCCTTTGCGCCTATGCACTGTGTTTACAGCAGCATTTGAGAGAGGTCTGTAGTATGGTTGGGACCGTACGTTCTGATGATGTAGTATGCTGTGATATGTAATCCTCAACTGCATTGTCAATTTTTCATTTTCAATTCCGTTGCCCACCAGGCGTTATGACAAGAGCCTTAGACAAATCTCTCGATTTAGCAAAGGGGGAAATAGAAAATGGCCACCCGACATTACTATACTCGAAAGGATCCAAACCGTTGATCTTTCGATCAATTCATAGTTACAGCATCTGTGTGTGTGTTTGTGTTTGTGTGTGTGTGTGTGTGTGTTTGTGTGTTAGTGTTGTGTTTGTGTTTGTTTTTTTTATCATTCGTTTAGGAATGGCGCCGACTATTCCCGCAGCACGTCAACTGGTTAATCATCACCATATTCTTGTCAACGACTTCACGGTAGATATACGGTGATTCAACAATTTTGTTGACGAAGAGGGACAGCTCCTCAAGGTTCAGATCGGAACACGAAAATGAACCTCACCTAGATCATCTACCTCCGCCCCAGGAGGCTTCGCAGCGGTTTCACACGTGGAAGATAGGACTTGCGATACAAGAGCGTCAAGGGGTCCTGATCGCAACCCTGGGCACCGAGCACATTTCTTGACTCGTCATTCAAGGCGGTGCCTAAGTGTGTACCAACGTTCCGATAGATGTCAGATTTGGACTCCCGAAGAGAGGAGGCATCACATTGGCCCGCACACTGCGCAGCCAATCCTGACCGATCATCTTGACACCCTGTGCTATCATCACAGCCTCTTTCACACCCACCCTCGTGCCGGAGCGGGATCCCTTTACTTATTCGCCAGTCTCTTTCCCCTTTTTCTGTGTGTGACACGTTGCAGCTCTGGATGTCACTCATCTGAGTGTGCTGTATGCCTGCACTACAATGAACTTTGCTTGCCGTAACGCTTTTCAGTCCTGCGGAGTGTTCGCTTCTCGTACGAAATCTGTCAGCGACGCAGGACCAAGGAGGATACACAACATCACCACCCATCTCTCCGGAAGCTGGTACATCGGACAACGGTCCTGCCATTTCCTGTCGTGAAGTGGCGAAACTGCTAGTGTTATCTCTGCGATTGCCCAGATTAACGTTACATAACGAGGGACTGCTCTCCTCCAGGGGCAGGGTTGCACGCATCCTTGCTGTCGCAACATTTGCCTTATCGTTCATGATATCCTGATGATCCATTCCATCGATTCCAAGTGATCGCTCTGATGAAACTTCGGAGAAAAGTGCTTGCGCATCCAGAGCCGATCGATGAGAATCTGAGGGTCTCTTCTCTTCGTCCTTGCCTTCATATTGAACCACCTCCTCTCCCCGCTCTTCACCATCCCCATCAATGTCCGAGTCTGACGAAAAGCTCATTGGCGGCGAAGGAGGAATGTCGCGCACGGAAAGCAGAGCAACCAACCCCTGGGAATTCCCCACCATCTTGGACGGCACTTGACCTCCGACTTCGTCACCCTTCGCCTTATCTTTCTCAGGGGATAAAATCTGACACGCTGGTGTCAGTGCCTGCAGCCGCCCCCTTCCTGCCAGATACTCACAATCCGGTGCCGGGGAAGTGAATCCTTCACCCGACCTGCTCCCAGCACCGGGCCCCACTCTAACCTTGGCAATAACAGTAGAACAGCAACTATTTGCGACACCATCAGCTATTGCTGCTTCTGGATAAATATCACGTGCCAATAATAACTTACTCTCCTCCCCCTCCTCCTCCTCTCGTTTGGACCTATCTTGCTGCTGCCCATGTTGTTCATTCTCATGGCCGTGCCACTTTCGCCGTTTCTCCTGCTCCGTCTGCTGCCGCTGCCGTTGATTCTCCTGCTGCTGCTGAACATGGTCTTCTGTCTGCAATTGTGTTTCACAGACTCCTCTTCGCTTCAGAATCATCTGGTGTTCCTCCCCCTCGCTCGCAGCACTTCTCCCGCCTCCCACTTGTAGTTCGCTGTGTCCTCGCTTGCGCTGCACACCTTCAGCGTTTTCACATCTGCCAGAGATGGAGGGACTGCATGCTGCTGTTTTAACTCTACTGCTTTCCCGCCGATCCCCCCGATCGCGCAGATCTGTTTCCTCCTCAATGGCACCCATAACTGGGCCTCTGAGCGGAGCGTGCTCACCCGAGGCACTCATCGCTAGGTCTCGAGGGGGACGCTGATCATCGGCGGAACAACGCCCTCTCCTCAAGCACCTCAAGGGGTCCATCAACGAGGGGCATTCTAAGTCCGATCTTGTGGGAATTCCATCTGGAACCAATGCAGCAGGGTCAGGCATGCTCTTGGGAGTCGATGAGATCACACAAACAGGTTGCAGGCATCTGATTGCGTTCCGCAACTCACTCCTCGATGAATGGATAGAATATAGTACCCGCCAAACGCCATACCGATCCTTCACAACGGGCGCAGAAGATGTAGGTGCTGGCATCTTGACCACCCCTTCAGCACCTGCCATTGTCCAATGTCGATGGGGATTACCGATCGAAGAGCGATAGTAGGAAGAAGAGGAGGAAGAGAAGAGCAATGAAGACGAGGAGGAGGAAGATCTCCTTCCTTCCTTGGCCTGCGCACGGACAGGAACGGCCGTTTTGGGCGTAATTCCACCAGCACAAGTTTCCCAGGAAGAGGAGTGAAGGAAACCTGTGCCCTCGCCTGCTCCTTTGTCGGTAAACCACTGGGCAGATGGTCTTATGATCAACGGTTGGGGATCGCCCTTTGACTTTGACTCTGCAAATGCTTGTGTGGCAAAATTGCACAGTCCGGGTCCTGCAACCACGTGGAAACGTGTTGAGTGCTTATCACTGGCAACAATCTCTTCGCTAGTGATCTGGAGATCGGACCACCATTCAGATAGCTTCGACGGGTCGACGTAGATTTTTGTGCGGAATGTTGTCGCGATCGCATCCAGCACGTCCTCCGTTCCCAGCATATCGCATGAGATGTATATGATTTTTCCCTCATCGTTCTCCTCGATTGTCTTGATCACCAGATCAATGGCATCCCCCCGATCAGGGAAGTTCTTGGTGAGGCGACCGTAAGTGCAATCAAGGAAGAGATAGTCGATGCAGGAGGAGGGGGAGGAGGAGGAGGAGGAGGAGGAGGAGGAGGAGGAATTAGGAGGAGCAGCAGCAGATGCTGCTGCTGCAGCTGCCTCTGCAGTTGAAGCCGGTGCCATAGATCTCGACACATCGGACGGCGCTAGACGAAGAAACTTTGCAGGAAGCATCTCCAGGACTTGCGTCGTCAGCCTGCAATCTCCCGTATGAAGGACAGTGCCAAATTCTCCCTCAAAAAGGAACATCACTGCTCCTGGGCAATGATTGGCATCATAAGCCGTGACAGTGAATGCCTCTGCATGAGGGCCATGGATGGTGGTTGGCACACCGATCTCCATGGGTATAAAACACCCTCTGCTGAGCCCAGGATGTCGCTGGAGGATAATCTCCATAGTGATTGCCGAACAGTAAACTGGATGGCGAGCATTTGTTAACAATCCTTCAGTGTGATCCTTGTGCGCATGAGTTAGGAAGTGGAACGGTTTCGACATCGATTCCACACTCCACTTGTCGACCGAGAAAGGCAGTCCATGTGGCATCTCGATCGGCATGTTGGTTTTTGACAGCCAGCCCACTTGGCATACCAACAGGAACAGGTACACGTGTCAACAAACAGACATACTGACATGTAGGCGACAGCAAGGCAAACAAAAGGACACAACCAAACACACAAAAACCAGATGAGACAAAAACCAGATGCGACAAATAAGAACAAACAAACGGATAAGACAGACTCGATAATACAGAAGGCCAACAGCGAAAATTAGACAAACCAACAAACAACACATCAATAAGACGGACTGATAAAACGGAAAGGCAAAGAGAGAAAATTAAACAGCAAAAGACAACAGACAGATTAGACATAACACAAATAGTCAAACACGCTGATAGACAAAAAGGCACAAAGATTGGTAGACAAGCAGACAGGGCGACAGAGAGATAGGCAACAGGCACACACACCGAGAGAGAGAGAGAGAGAGAGAGAGAGAGAGAGAGAGAGAGAGAGAGAGAGAGAGAGAGAG